TTTACCAGACATAGCTTCAAAGGTCTCCATGTGGGTCCAACTTGGAATGCTAAAAGCCATGTCCTAAGAGTAGGGATGGCAACATGGAAGGTTCAGGGAGGGTTTTGTAAATTCTAAACCTTACCCGCCTCCCTAAACCTCTCAACTCGTACCCACCTCAAGATTTGTAGTGGGCTGGATTTTAAGAATCCAACTCTCCCCGACTCTCCCCGACTCTCCCCGACCCTACTCTCCCCATATTCAAGGGTAGGGGCGAGTTGAGTTTAGAACTCACATCTAATTTCCTATTATTTATTGTCATATGAAAGTAATAATTAAGTAAAATAATGCAAATAAACAACAAAAATTTCAATTATTTGATTAAGGTATTAAAAAACACATAAATTATCCATTATCCTTCATGTAAAATTTAAAATATTATTAAATTCAAGACCTAGTACATAAAGTTTATATGCTTTCTAACACTATGCAGATTGGGGAGGGTCAGGTTTAGCCTAATGCCATACCTTACCCATACCCATACAGGTTGTAGAATCCCAAAACCAATTCTTCAAACAAAAAAACCCACCCCGTCGGAGAAGATAGGGGTGGGTACCCACCACATAGGATAGAAATTTCCATCCCTACATAGGAGCCCTCCCAAACTAGCACTTAATCTCTATCAATTTTAAAATCCAACCCAAAGGATGAATCAATTTTTCTAAGTGGATGGTTCACCGATTCACTTGTCTTGTATTTGCATCTCTCATGTTTAGCCTGTATTATCACTTAAATCATCTATATATTCCATACTACATTGTCCTATTAAGTGAAGTTTAGTCATATGCCACTTTCTTGAAATTGTTTTACCATGACTTTAAACTGTAAAATAAGAATGATGACATAAATTATAACAAATCAATCGAAGTCTAAAATAACTGAGGGGGTTTTCACCAAATATCGATCATATTAATATTTTGAGCTTTGCTTACAAGTTGCATAACACTCTTATATTGACCATATTTTGCACTTCTCTTTACCCATTTGCACCGAACTTCTATGTCCCTAGTAAACCATTTTAATTTCCTCTTTCCATTGCTATAGTTCCAAAGCCTAGAGGTGTCTTCATTTAACCAATCTAGTACAGTTTCAGAGTCTCCTTCTATGTTCATTGACATTTAGATCTTTAAACCTTTGTACCCCTTCCAGAGCTGCTAGTATTTCTACCCTCAGAGAGTCTCCAACTCCAATTGGGCCAGAGTACAAAGCTATTATAAACCCTTTTTCATCCCTTAGTACTCCCCCTATTCTAGAGGGCCCTAAATTCCCATACTGCTGCCATCAAAGTTCAGTTTGATAAAACCGAGAAGTGGAGGGTTCCAATGGAAACTTAAGACCATCCTAATTGAAGCTAAATTTGTAATTTCTTTCCACTTTCTAAGCAAACCATCCATTGAGAAATTTGCAAATATATCCAAAGTTTTAAGCCATTGAATTACCCTTATGTGAGTCACCTGTAGAATTGCTTCCCTGCTTCTTTCCTTTTTTGAAAAAAATCCTTGAGTTTCTTTCCTCCCAAATAGTCCAACATATGGCTGCCTTAACACATCTCTACATAATCTTCATCCTTTTTGTTGGCCAGTTGGAGGGAAGGGAAGTAAACAAGCTTTGCACATTCATTGGAGGATTCCTCCTGCACCCAAACCAAGAAGCAAACAAATCCCAAATATATTTTGCAAATTAACACGAGATTAGTAAGTGAACACTAGACTCACCATCAGCTTTACAGAGGACACACCAGTGACGAGACAAACATCTATTGGGCTTCTTTCTTTGAAGCAAATCACTTATGCATATTCTTTCCAAAAAGGCTTCCCAACAGAAACTCCCAACCTTCGGAGGAATAGACTCACATCACACCTTTTTGACAGGAAAAGACAAACCAAAGGGAACAATTGGTTGTGCCAGGGATTTAAAAAAGGAATAAATAGTAAAGTAACCTGAAGGAGAGAGGGTTGAAATTCTACTATCTACCTTTGTTGGTTCTAGAAAAACCCCCTTAAGGATAGATAACAAAGACAAGGTACTCTCCATTTTCAGAATCCCTAATATCTCTTCTCAAACCCAAGTTCCAACCAAAGCCAAAATTCAAATTAAAAGGTATAAGGAAAGAGGATACTGGTCTATTCTTAAAAGTAGAAATAGCAAAGAGTGCTAGAAATTAATCTTTTAAAGGACTATCTCTAACCCAAACATGTTCCTTAATGAGATTATCCGAGTGTAAGTCATACCTGATCCATGGAGAGAATAATGGCAAAATAGATTGGATTGCTTTCTAGGGTGATGCCCTTGTAGTCCTAGCCAGAATCTTAGAATCCCATCCATTCTTAGAAAGCCCATGAATACTACCCACTATCCTAGTCCACAACTTTTTTTTTTCTAGTGAGAATCTCCAGAACCATTTCCCAAGTAGTGCCAAATTTCTCTTCCATATATTCCAAATGCTAAAGCTTCCATCTCTCTTGCTCCTGCACACCACTTCCTTATATTCCCAATGCCAAGGCCTCCATCTCTCTTGCTACCACTTCCCACCCAACCCTATGGTCCATTTTCTCCTCCCATGTCTCCCAAAGGAAATCTCTCATTAATTTTTTAACTTACTAGCCACTTTGCCAGAATTTTGAAGATCGACAAATAATAAATAGGCAAGTTAACTAAGACAAATCTTATTAGGGTGATTCTCCCCCCAAGAAAGAGGTAATTTTTCTTCTAGGAGGCAAGTCTCTTTTCAAATTTCTCTACAACTAGAGTCTGGAACCCTCATTTTTGAGGATTATCTCCCAAAGGCAAGCCAAGGTAGTTTATGGGCCAATTAGACATTGCACACTACAAAATATCTATACATTCAAGTATCTCCCTCTCCCCCCAAATTTACTCCTACTATACAACTTTTCTCAAAATTCACTTTAAGATTTGATATTTAATCGAAGAATTGTATAGTGACCTTCAAATTTCTAATCCAATCCAAATTTTCTTCTTCACAAAAAAATATTGTATCATCTGCAAACTGTAAGTGTGCGAGTGGTATGTTCTCCCTTCCAACTCTCTAACCTCTATTTAAGTTTCTAGAGTCAACTCTAGAGATTAATCTCCCCAACACTTTTGTAATCAATGTGAACAAAAAAAGGAGAAAGGGGGTCTCCTTGTCTTCTTCTTCTCATAGCCGAGAAGAAGTCTACTACTGTCCCATTCACCAAGACAGAGTAGTGGCAAGTCCTAATGCACCCCATCACCCAGTTGCACTACTTATCTCCAAACCCAAAATTAATTGTCACCTCCAGCAAAATCGACTAATCTACCAAATCATAAGCTTTTTCTAAATCCAACTTACAAACCGCCCATTTTTTCTTCAATCTTTTGAAATCCTCAACACTTATTTGCTATGAGGATTTAATCAGTTATCTGCCTCCCCTTCACAAAAGATCCTTGGTTATTAGCTATAATGGTAGGAAGCACCTGTCTAATTCTAAGGGACAACACCTTTTGAATAATCTTGTATAGGCTATTTACTAAGCTGATTGGCCTATAGTCCCTTGGATGGTTTTCTTCTCTCTTATTGGGAACCAAGGTAATGAAGGTGGAATTCAACCCCGGGTTTATCACTCCTCTCTTATGAAATTACTCAAACACCATCATCAGATCCTCTTTCAAAATCTCCCAACATTCTTGATAGAAAGCTATTGTATAGCCACATGGTCTTGGTTCCTTTGAATTATCCATGGAAAGTATTGCCTCTTTTACCTCCTCCAAATCAAATCTTCTCTCCAAACACTCTCTTTCTTCACCCCTTAAGTTTGGCCAATCCAATCCCTTAATCCACACCCGATTATTCAATGGTCTTCTAAAGATAAATATAAAGTGATATGCAAAGGCTCTAGCAGTTTCTCTTTGATTTGATAAAGTTGCCCCTTCAATTTCCAAGCTTAAAATGAAATTTTTTCTCCTTCCATTTGCCACTACATGAAAGAATTTAGTATTCCTATCCCCCTCTTTAAACCACTTACATCTTGATTTTTTCTCTAATTAATTTCCTCCTTAAGAAGATAATCCTCTTATTGTTTCCGCAGCCTCCACCTTTGTTCCTTATCCTCTTCTGTAAGACATCCCTTCCCTTCAAATCCGAACGCTCAATTTGTGCAATCACAGTTTTTTTTTCTTTCTTCTACCCTCCCAAACTCTAAGAGATTCCATTCCTTAATTTTATCTTTCAGATATTAAAGCTTCTTATGGAACCTCATTCCAATCTAAGACATCCCCTCCTTGCTCTCAATACAGTCACCACTTTAGCTCCATTGTCTCTCATATTTTCTTGTTTTCTGTTTTGGAATCCAATATACAAGATAACTTTTCATGCAAAAAAGGCTATTTATAGAGGAAAATCCCTAAAAGGAATGGCCCCCACAAGATGTAACTTATTGATCTCGTTCCTACAGGATTACTCTAGCGAGATCATGCAGAACGATGCTCATAAAAGTGAACCAGCAAATTGGCTTGGCCACGAGTGAATCTCAGACAATTCCCATCCACCTATTTGGATGGACCAGAATAATGTGTATGATGTTGCTTTTGCAATTGGGTAACAGCCAACTGATCTGTTTATCCCACTACCCGCCTTCACATCAAGTGGCAATACAAGACATAACATGATCGAAATTCAGTTGTTATCTTTTCCGTTGGTAGGCAGAAGAATGTGGTGACAAACTGCAAACAGGTTCTAGGAACAAATACATGCAATAATGCAATATGAAAATCCTGACTTTTTTTAAATAAAGACATAGTTATAAATTAGGTGAAAGTGGATAAAAAAACTAATGGTTCAACCGTTCAAGTATCATAAATACCAGGAGCCCCCTTTTCATCAATTAACCTAAAATTTTCTGATTAGACTAACCATTGCTGATGCCATACGTTTGCCAAGGCATAGAAGATCGATGACCTAAAAACCATCTAATTTTTAAAAATTTAAGATTAAACACACTGGCCACTATGTAAGAAAAATGCTAGTTTACAACGATTAAGCTGGCCAAATCAATGTACTTAAGTAGGGCTAGATCACCTTCATGGTCATTAACCACATTCCTCAATCAAAACCAGAAAAGTTGGATAAGAACTGTTCTTCCATAGTAGCATTTTATTGTCAATCCTACATCACTTTGGTATTCTCCTCAGTAGTTTGTACATGCCAAATACATTTTTGTGCTGCCATGAATGTGGGATGAAGAATGACCGGCACAAAGGAAGTGAAAGCGCCCTGTCCAGGAAAGGTATTTCAGCAACAACCTGAAACCCACACAGTAATCATATAATCATAATCATGGCGGAGGTATTGAAAGAAGAAAATAGATACCCTTCTCAAACAGATATTTACCTTCCATGTTGAAAGGTCACTTCCACAAGAAGGGTAAGTTCGGTTTAGTTGTAATTCAGTGAGGAAAGTACTGGCATCAACATCCCTGAGCTGTAACCTCGGATTAAATAAGAATTGAATATATGGGAAGATCATTCACATAAGAGGACCTATAAGACAAAAGAAAAATCAGAATTAAAGGCACAGCTTGAAAAGGTTTGGTTGGGTTAGGGCCAAGTGAATGTGGACAACATAGTAATTTGTAACTGTCAAAACATAGCCAAATCCAAGATGATCAGTTAACCTAAAGCAAGCTTGGCCAAAAACTCACTAAATCATAACCCAAAATAAAATAAGATGGATCAGATTGATCAGGATGCAATGAGATGTGTTGTTTAGGCCTTGATTTTCAGGAAATTCAACATAATTAAAGCAGTCAATAAATGTACCACAAAATCAATCCTAAAAAAGCATAATATATATGCCCAATCCAATATGCACCATGGATGAGGGTGCAACTTCCATTCTAAACTGAACTTGTTTAGCGGCCCAGATTCAGGTCAAACCAACAACCTGGAGAGTGAAGTGTGCAAAATAAATGAATTGTCTCAGAAGGGAGTGGGATATTTAAATATTGCTCATCAGATGCCTTGCTTTTGTTATTGGAATAATGTGATGCAGCTGCAGTACCACCCAAAACAGAATTGAATGGGAATGGAAGGAGGCCTTGGAAGCCATCACCTAACCAACAAAATTCACCAACGTAGCCAAGGATAAAGAAAGATGATGGAAAGCAATGCCATTCACTACCCAATTCAGACCAAAGAACCTGCAAAAAAAAAAATCAGATATATGAGAATATATATCCTTGATAATATCAACATTGCATGGAGTGCTTACTTGAAAAATATCACATCTCAAATGCTTGTAGACATTCAAAGGTGTAAAGTAACCATGAATCAGGGAGAGTCTGCGGCTATGAGAAGCACATAATATGAGGCTAAGAACTAGAGGTCCAAAGGGCGTTTGCTACCTGTTTAGGCAAGAAAAGATCTAGCAACTCATTAATGACTCTCCAGGAATTTTCATTGGAATCGTCCTTGTCCATGAAAATATCTGGAGAACTCTCAATGACAGCTGCTGTTAGTAAATCAATATATATATATATATATATATATATATATATATCGAAGCTTGATTAAGCTCACAAGCATCACGAAACAAGCTTCATTGGGCTTGAGCTTAACTCAAAACTTGGTTTAGACTGAGCCAAATCAAGCTTTTCATAAGTTGAGCTCAAATAGCTCATGAAAAGCTCAATTCATGTCCACCCCTACACAACAACTTTCTGGGGCTGACCCAGTTTAGGGTTTTCTCATATAAATACCCTTGTATCTTCTTGCACAGAAAGTAAACTTGTATCTTGAGAGACAAGAAAAGAAACCCGGAGAATGTGTGAGATATGGAGAGAGGGAACTTTGGGTGTACTGGGAGCTAGGGTTTGGTGAGGAAGGCTGTGGACACTTTAACTGTAATCTCTATTGTTTTAGTGGATTTCTTCTCTTCTAACTCGTGGATGTAGGATACCAAACATGTAAATCTCTTTCTGTGCTTTGTGTTCCTCTCTTCTTTTTTTTCTTTATGTTTTCTCTACTTGCCAATTGTTTTCTTGTTCCTGAATTTGTTAGTTTCACAACAATAATGATATAAATGTGCATCCACCTTGAAGGCTTTTAATGTGTTTGACTAGTTCCTTAATAGATAATCAAGCAGAACGTTACAACTTCCAAAATTTAACTTCTTTCATATGCTAATTCTTTGAAGTGCAGGCCTCTTCCTCGTTGTATTTTATGGGTTCATTGCTTTAATTGACTATGATTGTTGAGCTCAACCTGTTCAACATTTTCTTTTCTTTTTTTTTCTTTTGGACTCTTGTGTTCTTTATTTACAAGATTACCATATTTCAAGAAAAAAATATTATTAGATTAGATATGCTACAAGATGCTTATTTAGAACTAAAATGAAACATCCAAGCTCCAAGAAGGCAAAGAAAAAGAGGGAAAATGTTGTCATTTTTCTAACCTTTCTTCTTTGTGGGGCTGCAAAGACATAAAAGCCAGCCAAATGCAGATGGGTGAGACTACTGTTAGGATAATTCAAACAGTGGGGCCAGTTGGGCCATGATTCAGTTCAGTAGGAAGTTATCTTTCAAGTCACAATTAATTCCAGCCTTTTAGAGTAAGTTTCGATCTTGTTGCACGTGTCATTTGTTTGTTTATTACTTGGTAGAAAATTCAGCTAGATATGCTGAACATGTTATCATGAAAGTTAATTAGTTATTAGTTTAGGGTCTATTTAAAGAGTTCTCTGTACCTTTTGGAAGCAAGAATATTGAAGTTGTTGTCTATCATTTTTTCTCTATCAGATTTTGCCTCTATAATGTTTAGTAGCTTGCTCTATTTTGTTTAAAATTTTTTATCACAACCTGATTGTGAAATTGCTATAGAGACAACAACAGTTTACAGGAGCTTATTAGTTTACAGTTGGTATCAGAGCCTTATTGATCCAGAAGTTGGGCATTCCATTTACTTCAGATATAGTAGAAGCATGGCAGGTAATGTTGTGAATGGTTCATTGGTTGTTCTTATTTTTTATGGCACTAACTATCTATTTTGGAGTATTAATATGAAGACAATATTTATGTCAATTAAAGCCTAGGATATTGTAGAAAATGGGTTTGAAGAACCTGATCAAATGACAACAGCTCAGTGGAATGAATTTAAGGAGAAGAAGAGGAAAGATGCCAAGGCATTGTCATTGATCCATCAAGCCATGGTGAACAACATCTTTCCTAAAATTATGAATGCCATCACTTCAAATGAAGAATGAGATATTCTCAGTATCAAGGTACATGTAAGATACTTGCTATTAAATTGCAAGCTCTCCGTCGTGAATTTGAAAATCTATTTATGAAAAATTTTGAAAAAAAATCAAGAAGTTTTTAATAGAGTTGGTTCAATTGTGAATCGAATTCAGTTATATGGAGAGGAATTATTTGATCAGAAAGTTGTTGAGAAAGCGTTGAGTGTCTAAGGACTTATCTTGTTATTTTATGAATGAATTAAAGGGTTCTTTGCAAGCACATGAACAAAGACTAAATAGAGTTGTTGATACACCATCAGAGCAAGTATTACAGATGAAGTTGAACCCCAAGAAATGGTCTGAAGATGCTGGAAGAGGTTATAATGGAAGAGGTTGGGGACTTGGTGGATTCCGAGGAAGAGATAGAGGCAAATCTAAAGGCCAACAGAGAAATTCAAATGGAGGTAATCATGGTTCCAACTCTGTTGCATGTTCATATTGCAAGAAAACTAATCATGCTGAAAAGGATTATTGGTATAAGAATAACAACAATTAAAATAGGAATTCACCAGTGTTATTATTGTAAAAAATATGGCCAAATTGAGAAAAATTGTTTCAAAAAATCTAGGGAACAAGCAAACTTTCTTGAAGAGAAAGAAGAAGATTGGCATGAGAGTGATGACAAATTATTTCTCTCATGCCTTATTGCCCATGATGGAGTAAATGATGATACATGGTATTTGGATAGTGGGTATAGTAATCACATGATTGGAAACTAAATTTATTTTGTTGAACTTGACGAATCCATCAAAAGACAAATGACAATGGGTGACAAAAACCAAGTTCAAGTGCGTGGAATTGGCATTGTTATTATCACCACTCTGATTAGAAAGAAATTTATTAATGATGTAATGTAAGTTCATGGTTTAGCCCAAAACTTGTTAAGTTTGGGACAATTGATGAAGAAGGGTTACAATGTTGTTTTTGAAAATGGTGGTTGCATGGTATAATATAAGAATGATAAAAAGTTGATGTTTTCCTTTAGCATGACAGAAAATAAGATGTTTCCAATAGTGTTTTCAAAGCTTGCAATCAATGCATTTACTACATCTAGTGAAGATTCCATGGTCTGGCATAGATGGTATGTGCATTTGCATTTTGGTGGGTTACATGTGATGCATAAACTGAATATGGTTGTTGGTCTTCCACTTGTTAAAAATGATGGAAAAGTGTGTGAAGCATGTGTACATGGGAAACAACATTGTGAGAAGTTTCCAATAGGAAAATCATGGGGAGCAAATAAACCATTGTTATTTGTGCATGTTGACATATGTAGTCCTATGCAAACTGCTTCCTTTAGCGGGAATAAGTATTTCATTTTATTTGTTGATGATTACACAAGAATAAATTGGGTATATTTGATGCAAGAAAAATTTGAGGCCTTTTCCATTTTCAAATAATTTAAAGTGTGGAAGTTCTATTGTTACTTTATGTACTGATCGTGGTGGTGAATTTACTTCCAAAGAATCCAAGGAGTTTTGTAGTGGCATGGAGATTCAAAGGCAGTTAATAGCTAACTATACACCACAACAAAATGGTGTGGTTGAACGCAAAAATAGGACCATTATTGAAGCAGCAAAAAGCATGCTATAAGATAAAAGGACTACCAAATGAATATTGGGCGGAAGCAGTAGCAACAACAGTGTACTTGATAAATCAATTTCCCATAATAGCAATCAAAGATAGAACTACATATGAAGCTTGGACAGGAAGAAAACCCAATGTAAGTCATCTAAAAATTTTTGGTTCTATAGCCTATGCATTTGTACATTCAGAACAAAGGAGAAAATTAGATGCTAAAACTACAAAATGCATTTTCATTGGGTATGAGGAGACAAGAGGATACCGACTCTATGGTCCTACTCCCAAAAGATTAATCATAAGTCGTGATGTAATTTTTTATGAAAATAAAGCTTGCAATTGGGAAACTAATCAAAATGTGCGTTTATGTATTGAACCAAATGAAACTTTTATTGAGCATATGCATGATATAACACCATCTGATTCTCCTCCTTCAACCCCTCCGAGAAAGATGAAAAGACTTGATGAGATACATGCTTCTTGTGAATTTGCTTTATGTGCTATGGAACTTACTTGTTTTGAAGATGCAGTGACAAAAGAAGAATGATGTACTGCAATGCAAGAAGAGATAGATGTTACTGTAAAGAATGACACACGGACATTGGTTGATTTACCTCATGGTAAAGAAGCCATTGGACTGAAATGGATATTCAAGTCCAAATTTAATTCAGATGGAAGTCTTCAAAGGCACAATGCACACTTAGTTGTGAAGGGGGTATGTGCAACAACAAGGTATTGATTTTTTTGAAACTTTTGGACTAGTTTCTAAAATTGATATTATTAGAACTGTTTTGGCCTTGGCAGCCCAAAAGAATTGATAAGTATTTCAGCTTGATATCAAATCAGCCTTCCTCAATGGAGAGCTTGAGGAAGAGAAATATGTTGAACAGCCACAGAGATTTGAAAAGGCATGAAGCATAAAGTGTATAAGTTAAAGAAGGCACTCTACGGGCTTAAACAAGCACCAAGATCTTGGTACAGTAAAATAGATAGGTGTTTTATAGAAAATAGTTTTAATAAGAATGCTAGTGAACCTACTACTCTTTATGTAAAAATTCATGGTGATAATATTTTGATTGTATGTTTGTATGTGGATGACATGATTTATACTATGAATTCTCTTAAAATGGCTAAAAACTTTGAGGATATGATGCATAATTTCGAAATGTTAGATTTGGGGTTGTTGCACTATTTCCTTGGAATTCAAGTTGTTCAACATGCTAATGGAATTTTTATTTATCGAAGGAAATATGCTATGCATATCTTGAGAAGGTTTGGCATGTTAAACTGTAAACCTACCAAGACTCCTATGAATGTGAATGAGGA